TTTCAGTTGCTAATTATTGTAATTTATAGTATTTCTTATGTAATATTTAATAATACATTTTATTGTATTTATTTAAATTCATGTGACAATGATAGAATTTTAAGAATCAATAAATTTTTTTTAGAAAATCTAATTTCTTTCTTCTATATTTTGTAGCTAAAATATAATAAATGAATTATTAAATATCAAAATGTTAAATTTTGAAGGAAGAAATAAAGTGGGAAAAAATAAAAAAGAAACTGTGAGGAACAAATAAAAGAAGGAAATGAGAATTGTTAATGGGCAATTGGATAACAAAAATTAAAGAAAAATAGAAAAATGTGAAATAGGCAGGAACAAGTAATACGTGTCTGCCAAAGAAAAGGCTGCATACACGTGGGGTCCAAAGTGAAGGTACAATTTATGTTACTTTTGGTACAATTTCGTGTTGCTTTGTTTGTCCTTTTGGTACAAGTTGAACTGCATTTGGTATCACATCTTAAAGCTGTGTTAGTCCCAACCCAATAGTACAACTTGAACAGCTTTTGGTATCACTTCTTAAAGCTGTGTTGGTCCTTTCCAACTCTCACTTCTAAATAAGAGTAATAATAATATATATATTTTCTTGCTAGATATATATAGGGAAATAAGTAAGGAAAAGAACAAAAGTAATAAGGCAAATTTTATTCCATTATGTCTTGGCCTTTAGTAAGGCTCCAATATTGTCAAATCACAAACATGTTACATTAGCTACAACAACAAAACATTGTAATTCCACAATAGAAGTCCGAGGAGGATAATATGTACACAAATCTTATCCCAGTCTTGAAAAGGAAAAAAAGTTGTTTCCACACCGTAAAGTGCTATTTGAGGTCAACAACTTGTGCTTGCTCCAACAGGCTCTCCTCTTCATCCATAGTGTCACAAAGTAGCCTACCCTTAGTCTCTGGCAACCACACTGTAAACAAACCAAATGTGGCACTACACACTCCAAATACCCCATAAGAAAACAAGCTATTGTTCCTTCCAAGTGCAACAAGCAGTGGACTCAATGCACCACCAACTACTAATGACTGCCTCACCATTGACACCGCGCAGTTCCTCACACACGTTGGAAATAGTTCCAACGTGTAAATCAATAGTACATTAAACGCGGTACAAGCACTAAAAAACGACACCATTTCAAGCCCCATTTGAATCCACTTCAATCCCTCACTCCCCTCCACCAACGCGCAACCCACACTACATATCCCACTCAGTAAGGAAAATCCTAAAAGCGAACCCTTCCTATTCATTTTCCCTATAAGGAAAAACGCTATCAATGATGATGGCAGCTCTGAAATTGCATTCAACGTGATACTTAAGTAGATATCAAATCCCAAATCCCCAACCCCTAACGGCATGCCATAATAAACCATTCCAACACCAAAACCAATCAACACTACTGTCATCAATCGACGTAAAGCCCATCCTTTCTCAATCAACAATCTAACAGCAGAGTACAGATCCAAATCTCGTGATGCAGACACAGACATGCTTTTTTCTAAATCAATAAACAATGCTTCGAAGAAACTTGAACTCAACTCCCCCCGTGTAGCTGGATTTGCAATTCTTTTCAACGTCTCAACAAATTCTTCCTTATGTCCTCGCAAATAAAGCCACCTAGGCGATTCATGAACAAAGAAATATACAATAATCGAATACACAACTGCTGGGAAACAAGTCAATAGATACAAAACTCTCCACGAATTCCCTTTATTTAAATACGCTATCCAAGGTAACGATATAAATCCAAACGTAAAACAAACGAAGCTAATAATCCCAACTTGCCCTCTCCACTTCCTTCCCACTAACTCCGTCGATAAAACAAGAGAACAAGTACCTATACTTGCCCTGCCAAATCCAGATACGAACCTTAATACAGAGTACATCCATATATTAGTAGAAATCGCGGTAACACAACCCGTTATAGACATTATGAGACATGATATAACCAACATGTTTTTACGACCAAACGAAGAATCAGCTAAAGTGCAAAGAACAAATCCACCAACAAGACAACCTATGAAGAAACTTGATGCAGGGAGGCCAGTGATGACTGAGCTGCTACATTCAAGTGACCAATCGGAGACAACTGACGTGTACGTTGGCAAATCAAACTGCCACGTGTCCTTTGGAACGTCGCAGATATTTTTGTACATTTGGCATGAGGAATTATTATTATTAATACAATGCCAAGTGGGAAGAGCATCAGTGAAAACACTAATGAATGATTGTTGAGCATCGAAAACCCAAGCGAGCGAGACTAGAATAGCTTGTACAAATTGTGACCATCCAAAATCTCCGATGCATACTTCAATCGTATTATCAAGTGAAATGATGCATCTTTTTTCGTTCGAATCGGATAAGAGAGGTTCATTTTGCTCACTAATCATGGTTGCCAATTTTTAATTTTTTTTGTGAAATTGGACGTTTTTCGTCTGTCCCTATAAAAAGAGTAATTATTACGCGTACCAAGTTAAGAGACCTGGTGAATATAAAAATGTTTCCTTTTGTATGTTTACCAATGATTTATTTTTTTTATTGGAAAGGAAAATCTTTGTTCAATCATTCACCAAACTTTTTGATTTAAAAATAAGGTAATAGTATTGGCAGGTAGCGGTTAATTAAACTCATGCTTTACCAATTTATAAGAAAAATGCAGAAAGGATAAATAAGAATGATACCAATATGTAAGGGCAACAAAATAAATTTCTAACAAAATGGTTATATATATATATGTATCGATATTGTATAAATAGTGTATAATTAGTTATAGATGATGTATAACTATGTATCTGAGATGCATATATATACATTTTTTATATAGTAAAGTATACATTGCACACCAATTTTTTTAATCTCAACCAACTCAAATTTTCTTTAAACAATTTTAAGATATGAGCTCCTCTCAATATTTCAAAAATTATTCAGTCATAATGATTTATATTTAAGATAGGTTGATTTTTAAACTTAAATTTTTGAACCAACTTTGAATATGGAAGGAGGAGGAGGAGGAGGAGGAAAGTAGTCATTAATAGTTGGAAGAAGACCAAAAAAAGAAGGAATACAAGAAGGTTTGGGAGGTTTCTAGATAAACATATTATATGAGATGTTTGAATTTTAAGAAAAAATTTCTAATATAGAAAATGATATTTTAAAAAAATAAAAATAAGATATAACAAATTGAAATGAAGAAAATATTGCGTCATAAATATAAAAGTGAGATTAAAGCATAAAATATTATATATTTTATTAATATTATAACCTATTAAAACATATTGATTGTTCGAAAAAATAATGGTTATTCTTATCTTTTTGTTTGGGTTTTGGCCTTTGGGGAATAACAAAGATAAAGCTATCGGATAGAATATATGCTAAAGGGATGGAGGGTTATTGCCTAGAATATATGCTCATTTTGGTCGTGTTATATGACGGCTCAACATGTTTCTATTTTATTATATATATTACTATTGTTGTTTTGTCCGTGTTTATTTAAATGAGATAATTACTTAAAAGTATAATTAATTTAAATATATTGTCAAAATAAAAAAGTTTCAGAAATATTCTTAAATTATATGAAATAAACAAAAATGTTCTCAGTTGATACTTGATAGTTTCAAAAAGTTCTTTCTTTGATCCAAAATTGTTTTTATTCTTAATTATTGGATCAAAAACTTCATTTCTTGAATAAATATACTCCATATGTTCCAATTTATGGGACACTTTTCATTTTTCGAAAGTCAAACATTTTAAGTTTGACTAAAAATTTGCGAATGGAATCTTCAAATTTTTTGAAATGAAATTTATATATTTGTATACTACGTAAAAAATAGTTAAGTCATAATGATTGACAATTCAAGATATTTAAAAGATATATGAAAAATTTACGATCAAAGATAGACTTGTTTGAATCTCGAAATCTAAAAAGTGTCACATAAATTAGGACGGAGGTAGTATTACTTCTTTTCTTTTAAGACGCATTCTTTTTCAAATGTGATTTTATAAATATAAGAATTTGGTGATAGCCAAGTCGTTGACTGTTTCTCTGATGAAGGTGGCTATTGAAGCGATGGTGGTGGTGGTAATTAACTAATATGTTGTTATACTTTCAGAGTGAAATGAATGATCACATATATATGTATAGTTGAGTGATTGGTAATGAACCAAGCTTTTGGAGAAATTTACATATTAAGTCATTATTTTATCTCAGTTATTGGAGTTATTGTGAAGTACTGTTGAATTGTGTTGAAGTCATAGTCAACCATTGTTGAAGCTTAAAGCTTCAAAATTTGAAAAGCGGATTTCCGCAAATAACTTCCATCTCAAGTGGGTATTGTTGCAAAAAAAAAGAAGATATATATATTAAGGAACCTAAATATGAATTTTGGGGTGATTTGATGTAGTTTTTGAGGTGATTTTAGATGAATTTGATGAGTTTAAGGAAGAAGACAAAGTGTGTTTTTTGTTTAATAATGTACAACATTGTATATTATTGTATATGGATGTATAAATTATTCTTAGAATTTTGTATATTGATTATACAGTATAGTATATCAGACTGTGTTTTGGTGTGACGCCCCAAAATAGGGGGCGTAACTGGCACTCGATACTTCGTACTGTATATTGACTATATAGTATTGTAGAATGCATAGCATGATATGTCATGAATTTATAGTGCATATTTGTTACCATTGTTATGTTGCCAATCTTGGCCGCTTGTACTCTTGGTATCATAACCCCATAATCACTTTCATATGACATGTAAATGTCTTGGAACCTCATATGTTTTTCCAAAATAAGCTTGAAAACTTAACTCAACTTTTAGAAAGATAACATTACCTTGAAGATGTTCATAGAAATCTGACGGTGCTTTAGTACTTATTTCCTAAACTTGGTTCCTAGATAATTTATAAAGAAAGTATTTCAAAAGTTAGGTGTTTTAATAGTTTAAACATTTAAGTTATATTAGAGAGTTTTGAAAATCGTGTATTACTATAAAGATTTTTCATAATAAAATTTAGCTGAGAAAAAGGGTTGGTTACAAATAATAAATGTCTCCCATAATATTTTAAGTCACATCGTCCAAAGAAGAGTAAGAATTCATACATATGGACATATAATCAAGGAAATCAATAAAATGACATGTAGATGTCGAATACTCTATTTATCCGAACGAGTGGAATATCAAAATAATAGAATCATGAAAATAATTCAGTTGAGATCCCAATGTCTTTCACAAAAGGTCTTTCAAGCAAGAGAGTAGCACAATATCACATTCGACATTTTAGGAATTCCCCAGGAGTGGTGCTAAAATGAAGGATGGAGCTTAGTCTTAGCATACCTTTCCGATGAACGCTCGAATGCTCGTATTTTCTTCACAAAAGTTATTCCTTACGTCCTAAGCTTCGCAACGACTATATATACACTGATACGCACCTATAAACAATTTACAATTGAGCTTAAATTGGCAGATTTGTCATATCTCCCTAACTTGGCGAAACGTCTGTAGAACTTCGTAAAAACAATCATAAAAGAGTCCCGAGATGATTACATTTGCAAGCCAAGTGTAAAATTTGAAGAAACACGAATAACTGCCAATTTCTATCTTCAAAAACTAGCTCCAAACACGGCTAATAGAAGAGAAAAATGATTGCCACATGTAGAGATCACGTTTCTTGGCACGAGACAATATTTAATGGTAGAAATCGTCAAAAATAACCTTCATCATGCAAGAACTCCATTAGAAACCTCTCTTCAGCTTTCTTTCTAGTTAGGAAATGTACCGTGATTGTACCATTTCGTCGATCACAAGAGCACCGTGGCTGATTTAGTTGAGTTAGACATGGTAGATTTTGATGTCATTCTAGGTATGGACTAGCTTTATGTCTGTTATGCCTCAATCGATCGTAGAATTCGAGTTAATAAGTTTCAGTTTTCTAATGAGCTAATTCTAGAGTGGAGGAGCAGTTCAGCAGTGCCTAAGGGTCGTTTTATTTCGTACCATAAGGCGAGAAAGTTAGTTTCCAAGGGTTGTGTCTATCACTTAGTCTTAGTTAATGACTCTATTATTGAGACACCTCTTATTGAGTCAGTTCCAGTTGTGAGTGAGTTTCCAGAGGTCTTTCCAAATGATCTACCCGAAGTTCCTCCTGAGAGAGAAATAGACTTCGGTATAGATGTTCTTTTCGATACTTGTCCTATCTTTATTCCGCCATATAGAATGGCACCAGCAGTGTTGAAAGAGTTGAAAGAGCAGTTGAAAGATCTCCTTGAGAAGGGTTTTATTCGACTAAGTGTCTCACCTTGGGGCGCTCCGATCTTATTTGTGAGGAAGAAAGATGGTTCTCTTAGAATGCACTTAGATTACCATCAGTTGAACAAGGTTACTATCAAGAATAAATATCCTCTTCCGAGA